TGAAGGAGCGGCTCCTGTGCCGAAACAGGTGTCAAATAAAGGAGAGCGCCGCCTTGTGGACAGGGCTGGTATCGTGAGCAAATAGCGGTTAAAACCACCAGGTGACACGTGAGGGGGCGGGGCTACGTGCGGAGAGTTAGGAGGGGCTCCTGGGACAAAACAAGTGCCCAGAAATTAAAGAGCGCCTCCTTGTGGAACGGGGTGTATCGTGGGAAAATCACCACCCCAGAAGCCCCTGGGCATGAAGTGCCGGCGGGAACTGGGGTTCTGGCAAAGGAGACCCTCGCGGAACCGGTGTGTTCCCTGGCGGCTCCGTGGACTGATGACTCAGAAGCGCGGCGCACAGGCCGCAGTGGCGGCGGGAAGCGCTGCTCAGTGAGGCGAGGCTGGCGCGTGGCTGGCGCAAAGCGCAGGAATTAAAAACAAAAATGGAAGGGGCCCGGACGCGAGGGAAAGGGCAGACGGTGAATGATGGCTGAGCAGTGACTTGGGGGGGCTGGAAGGCGCGAGGGGCCGGGAGGCGCGCGGGGAGCCTGGAGCCTGGGGAGGGCAGGGCGGGGCGGGGAGGCAGAGACAAGTGAAGCCACAAAAGCGGGGATAAAGGTAGTGCCTTTATTTAAGTACAATGTTAAGTAAAAAAAAAAAAAATCCCTCCACAGAAGGTGAATTATTAGTGAAATAATCTTTCACTGTCATGGGTATGTAGACCAGAATGGGAAAATTGTTACTCTGCATCAAGTGGAGGAGTATTACACAGCAGTGAAAGTAAGTAGGCTCTAGGTGCATCCAAGAATGTGTTGCTTAATCTTGCCTACATATTGTGTAAAAAGTCAAGATATAAAATAAACACAACTTCATGCATTTAAATTTTAAATACCAGGCAGAATTAAAATCATGTTTTAAACTAAACATTTGGTGACATGTACTTAGGTGATAAATTACGATGAAGAGAAAGGGAAATACTTTTATTTAAAGTCATGTTGGTGCTCACTTATGGGAGATTCTGTTGGGATGTGATTTCTATTTTAATCTGCTTAATGGGACTTCATTTTGCAATTCTCAGACTACATTTATACTGCCTATCCCTAGACGTAAGTGTAATATAATTAAAAAAATTGGAAAGCACTAGGAAGAAAGCTTAAATCTCATAAAACTACTTACCTTTTGTTGAAAGATCAGTTGACTATTGTTAAATTTTATTCTACTTTTCAAGTTTGCCCTAATATACACAATCCCCTTTCATTATCAAAACCAGTCAAGCAAAGCTAATGAAAAAAATCACTGCTGAAATTCCTTGGCAGGTGAAAAGTAACTGGTATACATTTTTAAAAACTTTTAAGAAGTCCACGGTGGTTATGGAAAAACATTTAGATGAAAATATGGGTTTGGGGCCTCCCTGGTGGCACAAGGGGTTAAGTCTCAGCACTATGAAGCTACTGGCAGCCACTGCAGCACAAGTTGAATCCTCCGCCAGGGAGCTAGCCCACATGGTGCAGCAGACCTCTCTTGTCTTCCCCCCTGCTGCCTTCAGCAGTCTATTTCAGTAGATCCGCCTGTTCTGCTCCCCATTCTGTCTCTGGTGAATCTTCTCACACCCCTGGGCCTCTGGCCTTCACCCCAACTCTTGTATGCCTAAATAAGGAAGATACATCTTTAAATAAAAGAAAAAAAGAAAATATGGGCTTTCTGCTAGTCAAGCAGGCGTGGACAGAGCAGCAGCACTTGCAGTAGTAATGTCAAGGTCACCATTTTTTTTTAAGGGAGGGTGTTGTAGTGAGGGCATTTGGGTATCTGACCTGAACCTGTGTTCCTACTAGTTTTTAATCCAAATAAATGTACTTTGCCTTTTTAAAAAATTCTTAAATTTAGAAATTTATTCTGTCTAAACCTACAGCTTTATATAGCTTCAGTGGTGGTGGGGGGTGGGTTCAGGGGGTGAACCCAGACAATAAAAACAACACTACTTCAAAGACTAGGCCCCTTCCAGCTTTCAGGCACAAGAGTTCTTTGAGTTGTACATACCTATGGGAAGAACAAGACAAAATTATGAAAGAAGCCAATGACATTTGATAAAACAAAATTTTATACAGTGGAAAGATCGTTCCTGTGCCCTTAAAAAAAGAAAACAAAAAAGAATTGAACAGGATAGAATGAAATTCCTATGTTCCAAATCAAATTCTCACACATCAATACACAACAACAGTGCCCTGTCCTGGCAAACAACATGCTTTCATTTTTGTCTCATCCTAGAGCTCAAATTCTGGTTCATCTCAGCAGAGACTCCACAGGCAACAGGCAAGGCTGGTACTCAAATATTCATTTATACTTTTGTGGTAGTTCCGACAGTGGTCTTACTTCTGCGCGAGCTTGCAAACCACAAAGGTCAGCAGTCATTACTTAAAATAGGTGCCAAGACTCAAATGAGAAAAAAAAAAGACAGGATAAAACACTGCAGAATTGCCAGAAGCACTAACGGAACCCTAAGAATGCCAATTATATTAAATCCCCATTTTAAAGATTGGATTTCTTTTGAGGGGTGTGTATGGGGGGGGCTTAAAATATTTCACTCTCACTGAATTTATTTCAGCTGTCAATGAATAGAATGTCAAAGATACACTGCAGATACCGTTTGAATGCATATCCACGCCCTGGCCCCACATTTTTTTTCACATGGTGAATTTCAACCTAGCAAGTACAACAGTTGTTATAGTCTCAAGCTGTAACAATTTTTTGAAACTTTTTTTTTTTTTTTAGGGGCTTAAAGATTTTTATCTTTATTTATTTTTTTTTAAATAATAAATTTTATTTTTATATTCCCCCATACAATTGCAAACGCCCCATTCTGACCCCAATCCTTCCCCTCCCGCCCCCCCACCCCCCAAAAAGTGTCTCTGGTTCATAGTTTTTTGTTGATTTTGATTTTCACTTTCTTATATTCATTTTCCTGGTCCCTTATTTAAGTTTTCTAGATTCCTGCTATGAGTGAGACCATCCGGTATTTTTCTTTTTCATTTTGGCTTATTTCGCTGAGCATGATCCCTTCCAGCGCCATCCATGTTGCTGCAAATTGCATGTGTTTATCTTTTTTGAATGCTGAGTAATATTCCATGGTATATATGTACCACATCTTCTTGATCCAGTCATCTATTTTTGGGCATTTGGGCTGTTTCCAAAGCTTAGCTATTGTAAATAGTGCTGCTATAAACATAGGGGTGCAGGTGCTCTTTGGAATTGATGTTTCTTTGTCCTTTGGGTAAATACCTAGGAGTGGAATTGCTGGATCATATGGAAGCTCTATGTTTAGTAGGTCCAGAAATCTCCACACAGAAACTGACTGCATACAAACCAAGTAAAATTTACCCCAAGACAACTTTCCCAGCTAGGACTGTGTTGACATTTGAGCCTTTTTGCACTATGCTCAGAATTTTTAGGTTAACTCGATTTCTTGGAGGAGACGGGGCTATCTGCCTCCACTTCCATTTGAATTTCCCGAGTGGCCTGTGACAGCAGGACTGCTGGGTGGACATCACCGCCAACAAAAAGCTCCATCCTGCCGGGCGAGCACCTCCCAGGGCGGGGACTTGACGTGGACATCCTGCCTTGGGGACCAAGTGGGGAGGCGCCACCTGCACTCTGATCTGGGGTCCTCCTTGGGCCAGGAGATGACCCGGTGAGCCCAAAGTGAGGGAAGGTGAGGTACATCTCCCTGCGGGCAGCTGAGGGGGTCCAGTTAGAGTCCACATGGAGGGAGGGCTGGATGTGGAAATCTGAACCCCTTCTGGGGTTCATTTATGTGTGTGGAGGAACACAGGGGTCCAGTTTCATTCCTGAACAGCACATTGGGGCAGAACCTGTACTGGGGGGAGCCCCTGGAGACCCACATGCTCATGCAAGTCTGGTCACTGTTGTCCACTGAGCACTCTGAGGAGAGAAATCAGCAAGAATGAGGTAAAACTGAGGGGGATCCACTGGCAGCAGCCTCACTCTGCAGCACTGTGCTCACGACACGGCTGGTCCTGCTGGGAAACCGGCCTGCTGCCCACCCAGGCCTCATGGGGTCACGTGAGACCTCCTAGCTACATTATACCCACACACCCTGGAGGAGTGTGACAACCAGCTGGCCCTGTCAGAGCCCGCAAGCGGTGTCACTCCACTGACCGACAAGGGCCCAGCCACCTGGGACGGGGGTTGCAGAGCTGCTCTGGCTCTTTCCCCTCCAGAGGGGAGAGTCCAGCCAGATCTGTGCTTCCAATCTACGTGTAATAAGCAAAGGAGAGAGAGGATCAAGAAGCAGAGATTATGGACTGGGCAAAAAAAGGAGGGCTTTAGGCCAGACAGGCCTAGGTGGGGGCCGTGGCTTTTCCCTCCAATTCCTGAGCCTCAGTTTCCTTACCTATATAAGGGAACATGTCCCCTCTATTTGAGAGGTCTGCACAGTGCATTCACCAGTTATGTTCCAAGGACCCAGTCCTTGGAATGTTCCAATCCTCCCTCTGCTAGAAGCGGGGGATTCCAAGAGCCGACAGCTCTTGAGCACCCTGGGGTGCAGCCAGGTACATATAGGCAACTTTAGCAGATGACCTAAGGACTGTGACTGGAGGTCGAGGTGCCACAGTCTTTCGTATAAGGGACACCTGATACACACCTTGCAGGGGGAGTAGGGGTGGTCAGGCAGGGCTCCCTAGAAAGGGGTTAATCTGAGGACTGGCCCTTGGGAAAGAATAAGGTGACTGGAGGGAGAGAATAAAGAGAGTGAGCTGGAGGCTGGAGGCGCAGGAAAGCAAGGGGCAGGTCACAAGAGTCTCATAAACAGCATCAGAGGCTTGGATTTATCCTGAGGGCGGTGGAAACCAATGAAAGGCTTTAGGGCCTTAAATAATGACGTGGCCCCGCAGGTCCGCCCTTACTACATGTTTGGTCTGTCTCTCCAGCGAGGCAGAGCTGGGAAGACATGAAGCCAACCCACCCACAGCAGCAGGAACATGCCCTTGCCCTGTGTTAGCAAACCAGACCACCAGTCCTGTGTCAGAAGGGACAGTCCACGGGAAGCGGGAATGAGAGAGGCCCTGCCATTTTCGGCGGTAGGTGACCAGCAATCAAGGCTGCGGATTTTACTGGCACATGTGACCAGAAAGGCAGGGCCATGACATGTGACGCTACCTTTATTACCAATTTCACGTTTCAGTTTCAGGTTTCAAGTTTTCTGGCTTAATTCCTGTGTTTAATTACTTTATAAACCATACTGACACTATCCTGGAATTCAAAAGCCCCTTAAGTGCCACACTTTATCTGGATGTCACTATAAAGAGTGGACAAAAGAACACTCAGAATTCCATGGAAGGTGGAAGATGACACCTTTTATCAGTTCAGTACTCTTTCTTCATTTTCTGCAATCACTACTAGTGTGTCTGTTTAGGAAAAAACACCTTTTATTAAATTCTGTTTTAAGAATGTTGCACAATTGGAAAAAAACATATCTAGATGGAACTCACTGTTTATATGCAATTTATATTATTTCATTTCCATTTTGGAATACAATGCTTTGTTGGCAGAAGAAAATGAGAACACTATGATTTGGTAATGACCCATAAATAAAACAATTTGTAGATGCTATTGCAACATTGACTGTGGTTTTTTATTAACATGGATTCTTTTCTCACTTATATGTCATAGTAACAGCTATCACATATTAAGCCTCATTTACCTGCACATCAGGTTCAACCTGAGCGCCATCAACTCCAGCATCAGGGTCTCCACTTGAAATAGAAAATATGTCACAGTATTGAAGTACATGAGCATTTTCATGCAAGTGGTGAAGGTACATGGGGCTTTTTCTCCTAGGGAGAGTATGTTGTATGAAGATCATAACAATTCTACAAGATTTCACTGTATCACACAACACTCTACAAATCCAAAATGACTCTGTTGATTTGAATTCCAAATACAGTAACACACATACACACACACACACACACACACACACACACACAGGCTGGTTATTAGAGCTTAGGTCGGATGCTCCAAGACAAAGCCAAACTCAGGCAGCACACAGCCAGCGTCAAGCAAGTATCAGACATGATTAAGAGAATGTTAAGTGACCTTACCTGGCCACATTCAGACCAGTCGGGCTCAGATTTTTTAATCAAACTGTAGTTCATCTCCATCCAACACCTGAAGGAGAGCCACCAAGGTTCTCTGATGTACCCTGAGGGATCCCCACCACATCGTCTTCCAGGCTTGAGCCGAATTCTGCAACAGAACAATGTCAAACTTACTGAGAGCCTTTTTTCAACTAGAAAAAAAAAATATCCTCCGCCATTAATCAAATAGGAAAGACATAAAGGAAGAAATGCTTGGTTAGCGTAAATGTTCTCCAAGTGCCCAAAAAACCAAATGTTTTCAGTGAGTGGCTAGATGAGAACAAATTATCATTTGCAAATGACTGAGACTTGATTTTGACTCAGTCAAATGCTTTGGGAGACTCTTAATTTGTTCAGGGCATGTCCTGTGATGAAGAAAAACGGGACCATGTTACAAAGAACACAGAATGAGGTAAACCATGAAAGCCTCTTACACACAGACATATGCGGAGATGGGACCACACGCACAGAAGGTGAGAGGACAGACTTTTCTTATCAACGAAATCATGTTATTTTAATTTTATAAACTGATACTTCTATTTGTGAATGACAATGTTTCTGTATTTCTCAAACACACCAGGGGACAAACACAGTGATTTCAACTGAATAAGAGGAACTGCTGCTGAGTCACTGTGACAGTTTTGTTTCTTTTCACATCTGTGCTTCATCTTTCTAAAAGATAAAGTGTAAGCGTAGAAAACCTGTGGTATAGAATATATTGGAAACCGACAAGACCGAGGCCTGGTAATTTTCAGTTGGAAAAGCCAGTATCTCCTTAGGTAAGAGCCTTCATTTTCCAAATCAAAGAAGAAACAGAGAATCTAAAGAGAACTTTTTCATATTAAATGAGATGGTTTCTACCCACTGCTCAGTACCTCTCTCTCCATCACCCTTATTAATGACTGAAAAATTACTGATTTTGCATGGAGGACACTGGCAGAGAACCCCTGAGCCAAGTGAATGAAGCTAAACATAAATGTAATGGGACAAACTGATAAACACAGAGGACAATGACTTGGGAAATTTTTGGCAAAAATGAGTAAATCTCAATCTCAGCATGGAAAGACATCAGTGTCACACACACTTCATTTGTAACTACACATTTAAATAGTGAGGCTTTGGCGGTCCGCCTCGCATCTCTCCTAATTTCTCCTTTTCAGAGTTTTCCAAGTTCCCTGGGCCATCCCCGCCGTCCTGCTGAAGGGGGCCTTCTGCATCCGCTGGCGGGAACTGAGGTCGCATCCCAGGAAACCTGAAGCTCCAGGCTCCCCTTCTCACCCTTAGCGCGCACCCGCCCCATCCCCGCGGGACTCGCAGGCAGCAGCGCCTCCCCTCAGCCAACATTCCAGCACAAGGAGATTAGTTTCAACAAGTGAAATCATTGATTCATGGTGAAAACTTTCACGCCATGTAGGAATTCTGGAATCAGAGAAGGGACCGAGCCCTGGGACACAAGGACAAACTATCCTGAAGAGCTGACTTGATTTTCACAAGAAGAAAAGGGAGGCCGGGAAAAGTGGTTGACACAACCGGGACAAGAGGCTAATGGGGCAGAAGACCCAGAAAGGTGGTCGCAGCGTTATGACTGGAGTCAGGAGGCAGCCCTGGCTGAAGAGGAAGGGGAAATACCATCATCACCAGGATACTGGCTCATTTTTTTTTTTTTTAGCTATGCAGCGTTTCTTTTAAATTACAAGCAATATGGAAATGAGTAAAATAAAATTTCCATGTTACAGACAAAACGCATAGAACATACTTGACCATGGGAGGAGGGGTGCAGAGGGGAGGGGGGCTGCTTGGAAATCTGTGGACAGGGGTTGGGATGAAGGAAAATAAGAGTCAGCATAAAAGCCCTATGGTTCACAATAATAAGCACTATGGCTTGAAAGCAAATTAACCATCCCAGTCCAACGAGAATTTTTCTAGAAGGGATTTATAAATTTAGCACATAGTGGAGGTCACACAGATTGTGCAGCTTTGGGAAATCACTGAGAAAGTGGGGTGGGCATTATAACTGGTGAAAATGGGCTAAAAAGCCATCATTAAAAAGAGTAGATGGAGGGGCCTTCCTGGTGGCACAAGGGTTGAAAAAGTCTCAGCACTTTCAAGCCAGTGCCAGCCACAGTGGGCTGAGTTCCATCCCCCTGCCCGGGAGCTGACCCACATGGTGCAGCAAAACTCTCCTTTCTCACCTACTGGCTCCCCTCACCATGTATTTCAGTATATCCACCTGTTCTGCTGCCCACTCTGTCTCTGGTGAATCCTCTCACCCCCCACATATCTGGCCTACACCCCAGTCCTTATATGCATAAATAAATAATGGGTCTTTAAAAAAAAGTAGGTGGAGCCTTAGTTCTTAATAGGATCACCATCAGGATTCCTTAATGTCTTCATTGCTAACCTGCATTGAAAATGGAAATCTATTTAGCATGAGGATGGATGGTACCTGGATATGAGTGTCAGGGCTAGGAAAGTTGTAGAACAGTAGTATCTGAAGAGGGCAGAAACAACACAACTTAAGGTAGGTCAGGAAAGCAACTGGAATCACCAAAACAAAAATTAAGCAAAGGCAGATGACCGAAACTCCCAGGCAACAGTGTTGACATGGGCTACTAGGCCATAACCCAGCCTCAGGAGAAAAACAAGACCCAGTTAGTTAGAACACAAAGCAAGAACCTATCAACAGAAGACCAGGGTCCACTAACCCTGCTCTTAAAGACATCGAGGTAGCCCAGCCCTTCCTTCCCCATCCTGCAGATACCTGCTGGGGTCGTGTAGAAAGCGCCATCTCCCTGGCTGACATGAATACTTGTTGCTAGCACAGCCCTGTGATCTGGCTTCTCATGATATAAAAAGTGGGCAGGGGATTAAGTAAGAGGGACTAGGCAGGTGAGGGGCAAGTATGGGTAAGGCTGGTGAGAACTGAGCCTCTTGTGAGGCGATTCCCTCCCCACTGCACTGTGTGAGGCTGTCAGGGCAGGTAATAGCTCAGAGAGAAGCTGCTGTGCTGTGCTCTTTCTCACCCTCAGAAGCCTCTGGGCAGCCCCTTGAAAATGGTCAACAATGCAGTTGCGCCCACAGGGGAAAGACTCATGGTCACCCTGATCACAAGAGAGCTTTTGTAAAGTAGAACTCTGACCTGAAAGGCAGGGACAGAAAATATTAAAGAAAGAAAAATGTTACTGAGAGAGAAGCTGAATGAAGGAGACGGAAATGTAAACGGTCAAGGAACCAGGACTTTCCTCAGTGAGAACCTGTTTGTGTCACGTACTGGCCAAGCGCAGGAGGATGAAGACTGGCTATCTGGGACATGGAAAGCAGACCTGAGAGAATTCAAAGCAAAGCCCCACAGGGATGACTTTCACTGGTTGCAGGGAAAGGGACGAGCCCCTCACCGCCCATGGGAGTCTCAAGTTCTCACAGGCCCCAGCCACAGAGGTGAAGGCAGAAGTCCTGGGATGTGCAGGGGCAGGTGCTGCTGAATCACCGGCTCCAAAGAAACCAGTGCTTGAGTCCGTGACCTAGTCTAGGGCCATCTCTCTGTTGCCTTGACCATCTGATGGAGGCTAAGAGTAAAAAATATAAAAGGAGGCCTCACAAGACTAGAAACAGGCTCACACAAGGCCAGAAACTGAAGGCAGGGGTAGAAATGACTAACAGAGTCGTTAAACAATGTATACAGAAAAGCAAAGTATCTAGAGATGCAGACTGATTTGTAGACCAGGAGGGATTTGAACGTTGAGGACCACTGTAAAAAATTCAGGTCCTTTCAGTTCAGCCTAGCCAAATCAAACAAATCCTTAGTTGCCAACTAATAGCAAGCTTCAGGCTCCTATAAATCCCAAAGCCATCCACTTAGTCAAACCAATTAGAGAAATTCTTAAAGCACCAACTGATAACAAGTGTAAATTTTGAAGCCCAGAATGGTGGAGGGATATGGAGATTGAGAATTACAGTATCTCTGGTCCTTTCAAATTCCACCTAGTTAACCAAATCAAGGTAGTTAACCAAGTTAACAAGTTAACAAATTAACCAAGTTAACAAATCCACAAAGAAATGAGCTCCTCTCAAAGACAAGACTGGATCAGTGCCATTTCTGCACTGGCAAGGGGCAGCAGCTCTCCTGCCTGCCTGGGACTGTGCAGGTGTTTGTCTTCACCAGCTTCTCCCTTTGCAAAGCAGCAGAACTGCAGGCAGCCTCCTCCCAAGACTGCCCGCCTGGGACTGTGCAGGCCTTTAACAAACCTGCTCCTTTCAGGGACAGCTTTTTCTGCCCGCTTGTGTCTGTGCAAGCAGCCTATCCTTTATTTCCCTTCCCTTCCATTTTTGCAATAAACCTGCCCTTTCAAATATAATAAATGCCCCTGCCTTGTGGGGAAACTCGCCGCATGCCACCGAAAGGAGAACACTGATGAACTTTTCTCAGAGGTAACCCAAGGATCCTACACTCCGAACTCAAAACCGCTACAAACTGACCTCACATCTAAATACATTTTAAATGTTATCACTCAATCTTCTAATGATATTTTCTTGGTAGGTATAAGAAGAAAGTTCCTCCATGAGCGAGGCTTAATGTCCCAGAGACAGATCCTTGATCTTGTGCAGTCATTCAGAGCAGTTAAGGTCTCACATAAAAGGGTTCCCCTGATGGCTCTGACCACAGTTATGCTTCATTCAGCTGAACCATAACTTCTACCTGTGTTAGGGGAGAGACCATGTTCCCACCCCCACTTAGTGAGGGGTGGAGCTGAGTGGCCAGGTGAAGCAATGTAACACCGAAGGAAGGTGGGCTCAAGAGAGACACATGGGAAAGGGGATGTCTTACCTCTTGGCTTTGGACTTGCACCAGTCACTTGGGTGACCTGGAGGAGAGAAGTGGCGGACAGGCATGAGGAGACATTTGAAAGTGGCATGTGGGTGAGGCACAGGTAAGGAGGTTGACGATGGCAGCCATTATCTTGATTTGCAGTTTGATTTTGCTCCTTTCATCCCAGACTTGCCTGGCCTCTTGCTCCCCACTTCCTGTGACTCCCCATCAATAGGTGACAAGCTTTTGAGACTCAGCAGCCCTGATTTGGATCAACCCTGTTTGGTTGGACATTTACCCAT